TGTCTAGTGTTTCCAATACGTAAGAGATGGAACTCACAAGAAATCTCAGAAAAGTGTTGAAAGGGATATAGATATATTTTCAAAAATTTCTGTCTCTCTCTTTCTCCCCCTTCCTCATATCCTCTCTTCCCTCCCTCCCTTCCTCCCTTCCTCCCTCTCTATCTCCATCCCTCCCTTCCTTAGACAAGGTCTGACTATGTAATCTTGGCTGGCCTGATACTCACCATGTATTCCAGGCTGGCCTTGAACTCACAGAGATCCACCTGTCTCTGCCTCACAAGTGGTGGGATTAAAAGGATGAGTCACTATACAGCTAATTCATATAATTTTGAGGCAAAGTCTCACTCTGTAGTTTAGGCTAGCCTGGAATTCATGGCAATCCTCCTGCCTGAGTTTCCCTCTTGAATGCTTGGATCGCAGGTGTGAGCCATTATGCTCTACAATTGAAGGTCAGTTTAGGGTTTTGCTGTGGAGCAAATGCAAACTCTCTGTTTAGTGGCTGATTTATCCCCCTGAGGACTGAGCTCATTAACCATCAGAAAGCACATAGTGTTTGCTTTAGGATTTCTCATAGACAGCTCTACAAACAGCTTTAGTCCCTCACTTCTTTTCTTCAAAGTACCCTGGAAATCTCATTAGGAGGGATTAATCCTGGATTCGGTTTGGTGTTTTTACTTTAATAAGCTTGTAGGAAAACCAATAAAAACACACAGGTACAAAGAAGAGCAAACACAATAGAGGGGTTAAAACCCCAAGTCCAGGAGGAATGGGTGATTACACTGTTGTGAAGTAACTCAGCTTTTCGGGGAGATATGAGGTACCCCGGAGGATGCTGAGTACTGAAGGCCTGGATTCTACTCTCAACTCTGCTAACTTGCTATAATATGACTCTGCAAAATTCCTTACTCTTACAGTTTCTTCAGAAGGATAGTTAATGACATCTATTGCAAGAGTCAAGGTATTAGGTGGATTGTGATGATAAATATAAGATCACTTTGCAGAGCAAAAGCAATAATGAAAACATTTGTCCTGTAATGTCACTGTGTTAGAATGAGCCAAACAGCTCTTAGTCCATGCCGGGTATCTACTGTCTGTACCTGCAGAAGTAGGAAATGTCTTGGTTTCAAGTTTCAAGGAAATTTTGTAAACTGTATGTAAGAACCTATCTAAGTTTAGAGTTGTATTAACTCAGCAAAGTGATCTAGGCAGACATAAGGACTCTTGATGGTAACTCTTCCATTGGACAACCTGTAAACTATCATGTAAATGCAATAGGAAGTCATCAGGAGTATGGCTATAGTCTGGTCTTGTCTGAAGGGAAGGGTATTTGATTTCTTGAAGACATGAAGAAGCAGAAGGCTTTTTAGCAGTCCCACAGAGAAACCGTAAGCAGCCAAGTGGATTATAAACAAGGTGACTAATTAGGTAATTCAGGTCACTTTTAAGAGCGGGGATGGGGTGGGGTGCGGGGGGCACTATGAATAATTACATAGGTAAACAGTCATAAAGCAAGACTGTCCCTGAAAAGCCAGGACGTATGCGTCTTCGTTACGATTGGCTCTCACCCCAAGGAGAGTGACGTCAGAGCGAAATCATTAGGATTTGGAAATTGAGCCAGCCTTTCTGTACTGTGTCCATCTTTCACCTTGTTACACTGAGCAGATGTGAACAGTGGAGAGCTCTGGAAATCCCAGAAAGCTGAAGCGGGCAACAGCAGGCGGGAGGGATACGGGAACAGTCGTCTCCCGATTTCTCTGAAGGGAAGCATCCAACACACGCGTGAGCTGTTTTTGCTGAGAGGCAACAGAACCAGACACACCAGTCTGGAATGTCAAGTGCAGAGATGAGTGACTGTGAATAAAAGCTTCAGGCCAGTGTCGAGTCTACCAAATGGAGTTGCAAACAGCTCCGAGTTCTGCAAGCAAAGGCTATATAGACGTAAATCAAAGAGCGCTCTTCCAAGGCTGGCAGTGTGGGAACCACTGGCCCCTTGTCACGCTTCGGTGTCCTCAACCACAGCTTCACACATGGAGAATAACTGCTGTTAGCCCTGTGGTCTGCGAGCAATGGTGGCGATAGGATTTTCCCAGGCACTGAATGGGGAGGGCTGTACACACCCATGTCTAGAGATATGATATGATGGTGCGCTTCCCTCACATATGTTCACTCACTTAGAAGAATCACTTAAAAATTTCCCTTTGAGGTGTTCCTTTGCATGATTTATATTAAAGGCCTTGTTTCCAGCATATCCCCAGCGCCTGGCTATGTACACAGCAGCCTTATATTCCTGAAAGGGTAAGACACCTAAAGATATTTTAGTAAGCAGCTTCCTGGGATGATAAATCAACAGTCACAGTGTCATATTTTTTCAGCATGATCCTAAATTCTGAAAAAAGAAAGACCAGTATTCCTCTGCAGGCCAGGGCAAGGGAACCGCTGACTGGGACAGACTGAAGCACAGTGCTAAAAGCAGAGTGGGTATTGCTTCGGTAGCACCCCCTTCCCGAGCCTGCAGAAGTGTGAAGGATTGAGGGAGGAATGTCCTGGTGACAGGAGCAACCCTCTCTGACTGTTGGACAGCTAGCTGGAGAATCAAAGTGTCACTGGTTCTTTTGATGGCCCTCCTGTCTTTATAGAGATGGTCTTTCAAGTGAAAGATCCCTTTTTGCTTTTTTCTTATAGATAGTTCTAGAAGGATTGAAATAGGGCTGGGAATACAGTTCAGAGCGTTTGCCTGGCATGCTCGAGGCCCTAGGTTCAATTTCAAAGACGGAAGAAAAAAAAAAACGGAAGTTTTTCATGGGCAGGTAAGAAGCATACTTATATTTTGACAGCTACCTTCTTTTAAAATACCTAACAGCCACTAAAAGAAATGGTGTCAGCTTGACATTGGTTTCTTGTTTTTTAAGAAATGTAGAAGTAACCGGCCTCACACTTTGTTTTCATTGACTGTGAGTCCATTTGCATTATGTATTATTCATTTATTGTATAAAGGTCTATGTTATCAATTCACAAAATAGTCCTGGAACTTCCATTATTCACTGAGGCTTCTGATAGAATGAATACATTTAAAAACAGTCATGTGATCATATTCATGTAAGGAAATAACAGTAGACGGAGAAGCCGGTACATTATTATTGCCAAGGTACTCATCCAGTCTCGAAGAAGTATGAATCATACAGTTAATTCCCAATTGTTTTACAGCATAGGTTTGTTTTTTTTTGTTTCCTGTAAATACATAAAGGGGATTCAAAAAAATTAATTATTTTTTTTTTATTTCTGTCAGAGCTACACTCATGATGGAGAACTAGCCATTTTTGTGGACCACATTAACTTTATATCGACCCCATCTGACAAAAGAAACGGTGAGTACTCAGCTGTCAACTTCTCAAAGAATTTTATTTCCAGGAACAATAAATAGTCTCTCTGAGTACTGTTCAGTCCCTCTTGCTAATTAAAAGTGCAAACATATGTCGTTTTATGCTTTTCAGATTGTATTTCAAGCAAGTAGACTCCCGACCTCCAGGGCACAGGAAATACCTCTCTCAATGTGCTCTCTTGGTGATACTCTACCTCCTGCTTAGGAGGAGGCTCTTCGGGCTCCACTTCATTTGTATGCTCCCCCAAGTGCCCACAATTAACGACTGCTCCGTAGTTGGAAGTTTTAATTTTGGATTTAATGTCCCAAGCTTCCTTTCTTTTTTTTTAAGACAAAAATAATTTCTTTTTTTAAATAATCTTTTATTCAGAGAGTAAGAGACCAATCTCGATTGATCACTGTGTATCCCACTAAAATGCTGCAATGCTTAGGCTAGGCCCTGGCTAGCTTGCCAGCCGTGACTCGAACATCCTAAGAGATTATTACAAATCTGGGCTTTCCAGGGTGCACAACCCAAGGTTGTCTCTTTGGTACAATTGTAAATAGCAACCAACTGTTTAATGACATAATGTGAATTTTTATAGGCTATTCTAATTCTCCAGCCGGATTGCTCTCTGAACATTTAAGATAAAATTTCACCCACTCCTTAGAAATGTTCAACACACAGGCTAATCTCTCACTATTGATTTCCTCCACTATGCATCCTGACTATTGCAAGATCACTTGACCTATACAAAAGATCTCAGTGACAGTCGGTTTAAAAAGAACAGCTTTTCAAAAGAATACTTGGAAAAGAAATCAGTAAAGATACCAAAGTAACCCTTCCCTGATTCTTAGCAGGGCAGTTTAACTGCATATTATGACTGGGTTTAGAGGACAGGAAAAAAAATCATACACATTTTTAAGAAGAGGTATCATATATTAGATTTGTGAATGTTTGGGCGTCTTGAGGGAAGTACAGGATTCTTATCCAGTGATTGAGAAGTCCAGGTTAAGAGCCCGCCTGAAGCTGGGCTTTTGCTATTTATCTTAAAAAACAAAAACAACAAACAGGCCGGGTGGTGGTGGCGCACGCCTTTAATCCCAGCGGGAGGCAGAGCCAGGCGGATCTTTGTGAGTTCGAGGCCAGCCTGGTCTCCAAAGCGAGTTCCAGGAAAGGCGCAAAGCTACACAGAGAAACCCTGTCTCGAAAAACCAAAAAAAAAAAAAAAAAAAAAAAAAAAACCAACAAACAAAACCAAAAAAACTAAGCAAAATAAAAATAGACAAACAACAACAAAAAGGAATTGACTCTTTTGGATCCCCCTGTCCTGAACTTCAGTGACCTGTGTCCCAGATGTATAGATCGCTTTGACATATACATTCTTATTAACAAGGAAACTATACTAAAAAAGAGTAAAAACCAAGTATGAACACCTTGTACCTAAAACAGTCAGAGCACATGTAACAAATGATGTTATTTTCCCTCTAGAGATCCATCTTCAATCCTGCACACTCTTTTCTCCACCCTTATCATTACTGAAAAGCAAAAAATTATTTAAATATTAAATATTCAATTTAGTTAGTTTTGAAGTTATTTCTTTTTTTTCACACCCCTGAAATATTGCCCATTAGCAGAAAATGGTGTCAGAAGGGCTTTATTAATACTAATTCCTTTCCTGGACTTCCAAATAAAACAACATCATTGTTTTCAGCCATGGGTAGGTGGGGCTCCAAAACTAATAATTAAATAACACCACTTTTCAGTTTGCCAGATTAAATGGAATTGAAGTGCATGAAACCATTTCCACATCTCTTGGAGTGAAGATTTATTTAAGATAGACTAAATGAATTACATGGATCCCACTCCAATGCCTTCTTCAATAAAAGTTATGACTGGACAAACATCAGATTTTTTAAAATTTAAAAATAATAGAAAAGTAAAAATAGATTTCCTAGAGAAATTTCTCCCCTAACTTTTTTTGTGTGCGTGCATGCATGCATACATGTGTATGTGTGTGGTATTTTGCTGATTCTATGAAATCTATCTTTGGAGTAACTGGGTAGGAGAGTATTGTTTTGTTGTTGTTGGTTTGTTTGCTTTTGTTTTTAACTGGATTCATCCAAGGACATTGAATTAAGATGTCAGCTGATTGGTGGAACATGAACTCGTTTGGATCATGACGGATACTATAGGCCCTGAAAGGAGAATGGCAAATGTGAATGAGAGCATGTAATGTAAGTCTTAGATGCCATGGACCCTTGTTTAAAGAGAAGACAAAAGAAAACAGAATGGTATGAGCACTCTAAAATCATCTGCAGCACTTTAAAGGGTTAAACCTGCTTAACCCATTCTTAGTCAGAGAATGGCACCAAAGAGTACAGCTCACCTCTCAAGCATGGCTAGTTCTAGACCTGTGGTAGCCTCAGGTTGCCAGAGCATTCATGCGCTCTGTTTCCACCCCCCTCCCACCCGACTAATAGGATCCATTCATAGCTACTCACTACTGCAGGATTTGACCTGAGAAATGCTAGGATCGATTAACTCAGCAGTCATGGTGAACAGTCCCTAAATAATCTTTACCCTTGGCCAGCAAGGGAACTGCTAGTCTCGAGTTCTCAGCAGCAGCTGGTGAGGTTCTTAGCCAAATTCTTCAGATGTAGGAACTTCTTCCAGACAGCCTACGTCGACATGGCGTTTACACATCTTTCAACCAGGCTTCCTGGATCTAGGAAATGTTATTCCTGACTCCTGTGACCCAGACGCCCATGACAACACAGTTCACAGTCTGTAGGGAATTGCTCTTCTTTCCTTTCTAGGAGCTGGCATGGTGGCTATTTTTTTCTAAAACAGTCATGTTGATATGTTCAAAAATCCATTGCTGAGTCTCAGATAGAGGGTCACATCTGGCCATGAAAATCTTCTTCTCTGCAGGATTACAGTCCATGCAGCTGTTGCTCACAGCATGAAATAGTGTTCTGTCCTAGATGGATCAGAAAGAAAAGATTGATATAGTATGTGGCGAATGCTACAGCCCAAAGTTTATGTATGCAAAATATTTGATTGTATTTGAGTATATACCCAGTGTCTAACTAAACCAGTTCTCAAGTCAAAGAATATGAGATTTCAAAGGGTCCATAACTTACAAAACAACTTAAGCTGAGACATTAATTATTAATTAATTATTTAAAAAGAGCAATTCACTCATTTCTAGTTTCATAGTGAGCGTTTTGCTGCATGTTTAGCTGCTTACAAGTATAAAGGGCTTCTAATCATTTGGATAAAATATGGCATGGACACACACACACACACACACACACACACACACACACACACACACACACACTGTGTGGAGGGCACAGGAAATAATAAACACACCCAACTAGAAGAGCGAATTTTTTTTCTGTTCTCACACTGGTTGCCCATTGAGAAAGACAAGAGAAATCCATGTTGAAATTGAAATGCCCGTTGCTCAGCTGCTGTCTCCGGAAGGTGAATGAAGGGGTGAGGACGAGTGGTACAGGGGCAGTAGCTGCGAGTAAAACGTCAGATTTGTGAGTGCTTGAGAGTCAGTCCCGTCAACCCAACATCAACGGAGGCTGCGGGAGTTTAGATAGCATGCTTCTGATGACGTCTTGTAAACTGGAGGAGGTATCATTTGCTTACAAGACAGTTGTGATAAATAAATCACCTCAGTACTTAGATAGATAGTTCACAGCTCAGTGAATAAAAGATGCTCACTTCCGGGGGCACAAAGTTTAAGTACTGAGCAAACTCATTATCTGAACACACCCCTCTTTATTGTGGACCTGGGAAGAGAAGGTAAAGCTGAGAGAAAATGACCCCACTCCCGTTCCTGCTTAGTATCAATCATTTGAGAAAAGGTCCCCAAATTACCACTTACATTTTAGCATCGAGTAATGTTTTATTATTTAGCTTAGGAAGTGTTTAGGGGTTCTGGTTGTTCTGGTTGCTTTCCTTCAAGGGAGGAACAGTAAATGCACAGTGCTTTTAAGATTAAGAGTTTCTCAGCCACCCTTTGTAAACATTTATGGGTTCCTGGATATTAAGGTTCAATCAAACCAATATTTAATGTCCTTGAAGGATCCGGATATTTGCATGAAGGGAAAGGAGAAATAAGGAAGGAGAGAGGCAACATGTGGGCAATCTAGTCCACGTTTCTATTTTTACTGTAAACAAAGGACTGTGCCTAACACAAAGGTCTCTTCTACTCTTTAAAGTCAAAGCTTGTTGTGGATTTCCTGAACTTGAATTCAGAAGTCTCCTGAGGTCTTCTTACAGTCCTTTCCAACCTCTTCACTAACTCCCCTGCAGTCTGACCTCAGGGGAAGGTTCTGGGGAACTCTCTTTCTCTGTGGGGGAGATGGTACCTGCCGGGAAGATGGAGACTGTTCTCAGCTCCTCACCACAGCTTTCAAGATCACCCGGGCTCCTGGCATCCAGGTTCCTCCATGTCACAATCACTGTGACTCCTTGCCAGCATTTTTCTTCCTTGTTTCCCTCTTTCCCCTGCAGCATTTCTCATCAAGCTTCACCCTCCATTTCCAGCAGCTCAGCTACATGGATCTAATATATTTTATTAGGTTTTCAAACAACCTTTGTGGTTTTACTTTCTATAGTGCTGGGAATCAAACGCGTTCAAATTGTGGGCATTCTGGGCAAGTGCTGTACCACTGGGTTATATTTCAAATCCCTTCCCATAGCATTCTTTATGGTTTTTGCATTTATTTAGTGTGTATGCGCCTGTGTGTGTGTGCACGCCACAGCGTATCTATGAAGATGAGAGGACAATGTGCAGGATTCAGTTTTCTCCATCCACCATGTGAGTTCCAGGGATGAAACTCAGGTCAGGTTTGGTGGTAAGCATCTTTACCCACGGAGCCTTCTATTGGGCCCTCCAAAGACCGTTCTTAAACTACAACATCCAGGAAAATTCTGTGTGACCCACTAAATTCTAACTTGCTCTGTTACATGTACATGCACCTCCTTCCAGTCTTTAACAGCATTTCTTCCTGCTTCCTTTACCAACAGCTCAGGCAGACCTCCAGACACCCCCAGGTTCCCCTTAAAAACATGCGTTTCCATGAACCCTAAAATCAGCAAAGAAAGTGAGTATCCTCTGGTTCCTTATCCTCACCCGTGTCTGCGTGCTAGCACAAACACAAAAGCAAACTAATTTTTTCTGAACATCCATTTCTGAGCCATCAGGTGATCACAGTTTCCAAACGCCTTGTGGAAACACATGTTCTGACAGATACAGGTATGTTCACAGGTACAGCCAGGCAGGCTATGCAGATTTAGCGCCAACTGGAACACTCCAGAATGTGTTTTCCACGCATGTACCCTAACCCTAACAGGAAACTGGGACTCTTTGTGTCTGTCGACATCAGGGAAGCCGATGTCCAACAAGATGGGCAAGTTGACACATCCCCAAAGTCTTTCCCTGTCATAAAACTGAATGAGCACTTTGTTCCAAAGTTCGCCCGCGACAGAGACAAATGACAGGGTGTCAAAACTAGAAGCCCTCCCCAATATCCAGGAGATCAACTGATTGTTCTCTGGCTACAGACTGAACTCTCTCCCGCCTTGTCTTCGGAGTGCTCAGCAAGGCCACAGAGATGAGGCTTCTGGGAACATTTTCAGCCTTCAACAGAGTGTACCTTTGTCACTTTTGACCTTGGGGGTGACATAATTGCTATCTATAGGCTTCTACTGGGCCAGGCTTTTGGGTTACTAAATGTCTTTATCCACGTGTGTGCTAGCTGAAATTACGTCAGTGGAGTGAGTAATCGTCCTCTGAATATGTCTTTTCTTCCGTGACAGCTCTCCTCTCCCCTGCCCTTCATCCCATCGGGTCATGGCTGCTAACAGAACAGCATCCCCCCCCCCCCCCCCCCCCCCCCCCCCCCCCCCCCCCCCCCCCGCCGCCGCCGCCGCCCTTCATACACTTGTGAATACTTTGGAAAGTGTGATGTTCCATAAAAGTCTTCTGTAAGTGATGATCGATGGTCTGTCTTTGCTTTGCTCTTGGTCCAGTCCTGACAAAAGGTATGGCATAGGCCTGTCTGTTCGGGGTCGCCTTTACTTCACCTTGTCTAAGAAAACTAGATACCAGTGAGCAGGGAGTGTCTAAGGATTACTGAGCTGCCCTTCGTAATCAGTTCATGGTGTCGACCAAGCAGCACATGCAGATGAGCGTGGGTGGGACTTTTTCACTGAAAGCCACGCTGCTTCAAAGCTGGCCACAGACTTGACTGGCATCTGTGTGATACCTGTGCATTCCCACATCCCTGCTGCCCTTTATAAGATCCCGTATTTACATAGCTTTAAAAGAATGAGTGAGCTGCTCCAAACATTCCAGCCTGGGCTTGGGGTCATGAAAGAACAGAGCAGCAAAGACACAAAGGCAATAAAATAGACATGAGAGAGAGAGAGAGAGAGAGAGGCTCACAGGAAGAAGATTCTCAGAACAAAACAGGCCACAGCTGGAGAGAGGCAGCACTGTCCTGGGAAAAGGCCTGAGATTTGTGGCTGTACAGGGAGCTGGATGCGTTCTAGTCATCCACTTGCTCGCTGTCGGCCGTTGGAGAAGGCACTAAATCCTGTGACCCTTAGCTCACGTACTTATAAATACAGATAACGTACCCAAGTTTGTTATGGGAGGATAAAATGTAGAATGGCTGGCTCCATGTTGCACGTAGAAGTGACTATGTAATAGCTTCCTCTTCTCCTAATTTATTTTTAGTCAGAAAAGCATCCCCAGTTCTAAACATCCGAACGTACTAACCATCTGGTCTGAGACCAGCTAGCTATTCAACACCAAATTATATTTTCTGAAATCCTGGCAAAACAGAGCCTGAAAAAAGTACCCTCTGACTCAAGTTATCCACACTGCACAACAGTGCCGCCCACTTTAATCAAGAGGATTTAGGAGACAAAGGCAACCTAGAGGGACATCTAGGTAAGAGTTGTGTAGCTTGGTCTTTTTGTGGGGCCTCTAGTAGTGGGATCAGGACCTGTCCCTGGCACATGAGCTGCCTTTTTGTGGTTTATATATCACAATTTCTTTCCATCTTTTGACAGGTACCTAGGCTGATTCTATCTATTGGCTATTGTGAACAGGGCCACAGTAAACATGGTGGTATATGTGGTGATATGTTGTGTACCCTAATAAAGCTTGCCTGAGGATCAGAGGACAGAGCCAGCCACTGGATTAGACATAGAGGCCAGGCAGTGGTGGCACACACCTTTAATCCCAGTACTGGGAAGCACACAAGCCTTTAATCCAAGGAAATGATGGCAGGGTAGAGAAAGGTATACAAGGCATGAGGAAACAGGAACTAAGGCAGTTCAGCTGAGACCCTTTTGGGTGAGGACTTGCATGCTTTCAGTCTGAGGAAACAGGATGGGCTGAGTAGTTGACGAGGTGAGGTTGGCTATGGCTTGTTCTGCTTCTCTGATCTTCCAGCTTTCACCCCAATATCAGGCTCTGGGTTTTTTATTAAAAGACCATCTAAGATTTGAACAACAGTACATGCTGGCTTCATACCTCTTGGGTATATAACCGGCTAGATACAGGTAGATAGTGTCGTGGTTATATTTTTGGTTTTTTGAGGAACCTCCATACGTACTCCCACAGTAGATGGGCTAATTTGCATTCCTGATGACAGTATCATGTTGTTACCCTTGTCTTCACTAGCATTTGCTTTCCTGATGAGAACCAAGTCAACTGGGAGAAGAGAGAATCTCAATGTGGTTCTGATTTGCATTTCTCTGGTGGCTAAGGATCATCATTTATGAAAATTATTTCACAAATTTGTTGGAATTTGTACTTTGAGAAGAATCTCTTCAATTAATTTGCCTGTTTATTGATTTGATTATTATTTGCTTTTGGTGGCTTACTTTTTGGATCTTTTATATTTTCTAGATATTAATCTTTTATACACGAATAACTAGCATATT